TTTATATCTAAAATTTTAAAGGACTGGGGATATACCTCAGTGTAAAGGCTCTGGGTTCAATCCCAGTACCACCAAAACAAAACAAAAAAACCCACACTGCACCTTAATCAGTTTTATATTCTAGGGCTCATCGTGGTGGGAAGGAAGCATGCAAAGATAGACTTAGGTTTCACTGAAGGGTCCTCATCCCCTATTGTGAAAGAGAGGCCAGGTCCTTTTCACCCCCAGCTTCACCACCCTCCTTGGCATCTCATTTTTTTTATGTTTCTTTATGCATAGAATCTCTTCCCCTACTAAAATAAGATGCTAGATAATGCGGAAATGTGACTTAGGCCAAAGTTAGTTTTATTATCTCAAAGCCTGTGGAAGTAGTATGATATTTGGAAACTTTAAACATGATCTTTATTAGATTTGGTGATTATACTTGTTTTTAAGTATTGTCCAGAGTGATGATCAGATGTTACTCTAGATTAATGTAAGATGTAAGCCTACATTGGTAAGTGTGGAATTGTCCCATCTACCAAGAAGATTGATCATGTTTGAGTGCTCGAAATGCCCTTATGATCCAAACAGTCCTCTAATGATTTTTCTGTTAAATTAACTTGTAGGTACCTATCTTGACTAGACACTGATTATGTTATTATTTAATTATACTCTTTAATTCTACCCAAAAGTGAGCTTATTGAATAAAACACTTTTTAAAACTGTTATTTCAACGCACAGCAGAGAATCAAAGCTGTATCTTGACTGAAATAAGGTCTTAGTGGGATCTGGCAGTTTAAAAGTTGCCTGACAAATATACATAGGAAATGTTTTAAGAACAAAAACATTGTTAATATCAATAGCCAACACTGAACTTTTAAAATGTATAAATATTCTAGTTTTCCACAAGTAGTAAAAGAACAATTATGAAAAGAATTGGATGTCTTTCCCATTTGCTATTTTCTATGCTTTAAAGTACCCTTTTAAAAGGTCATAAATTCCATATCCATGATGTAATGTTATCTGCCTTCATCGTTAGGTGTTCCGCCAGGTCCTGCCTATGGAAAGCTGAAAAATGGAATTTCTGTTGTTCTGGAAAATGGGATTACAATTTCTCCCCAGGATGTCTTAAAAAAGCCTATTGTTGGAAGAAAAATCTGCATATTGGGTGATTGCTCTGGAGTTGTGGGTGACGGAGGAATGAAGCTGTGCTTTGATGCGGACCTGTTGATCCATGAGGCGACCTTGGACGATGCCCAGATGGATAAAGCAAAGGAGCATGGCCACAGCACACCACAGATGGCAGCAACATTTGCAAAGTTGTGCCATGCAAAGAGGCTGGTTCTGACTCACTTCAGTCAGAGGTACAAACCAGTTGCCTTGGCCAGGGAAGGAGAAGCAGATGGCATTGCAGATCTGAAAAAGCAAGCAGAATCAGTGTTAGATCTCCAAGAAGTGACTCTAGCAGAAGATTTTATGGTGATTGGCATTCCAATCAAGAAATGAAACCAGTGTTCCTGAGTATATATTGACGTGTCTATGAATATGTTGCCAAACCTACAGTCCAGATTTTTGTGTTCTGTTTTTTGTTTGAAATTATTTTGGCCCTAATAATCCTGGAAGGATTGGAGCTGCATTGCTGAACTGACTCCACAGTAAGAAAGAGCAAACTTTTTGATAATGAATCTTTGGTTTTTTTTGGTACTGGGGATCAAACTCAGGACCTTGCATTTGATAATCTTTTTTTGTTTTTTTTGGTACCAGCGATCGAACTTGGGACCACGCGCCTGCAAGACAGGTAGCAGAACCACTGAGCTAAATCCCTGGCCCGATAAATCATTTTTAAAAATGAAAAACACCCAGCATCCTTCTTGAAGTGCAAATTTGAAAAATGATAGATTTTTCAAATATACTTCTCATTTTGTGGCTACTACCACAGATGCAAGCCAATATTCCACGCAATCTTGGGCCTAGTTTTGCCCATCTTTATTGCTGTTATTGGCAAAGTGCACAGGACTTAGTCTCTTGGCTAAAAATGGTTTTTTGGCATTTGCATTGAATCTATTCATGTTACTCACAGAATACAGAGAGATGTATATGCGGTATCAACAATAGCATGATAATGGCTTTGTTAGAATATTGAACGCACGATTGGGCTGGGAGTTTGTCGTAGTATTTTATTGAACTTTCTGATTTGCACTTAACCTATGTTTCTTAACTGGGTGCTCCCCTAGGAATTAAGAAATTGTGGGGATGCATTCTCGTCATAGGACTGAGGGGTGGTGGTGGTAGTACTGGTATTTAGTCAGCAGGGGTCAGGGATGCCAGATGTCCTACAAAGTTTGGGTTAGTCCCATACAATAAAGAATTCTCTCACTCCACCTGGGCATGGTGTTGCATACCTGCAGTCCCAACTACTCAAAGAGGCTGAGGTAGAAGGATTGAAGCCAGCCTATATAATGTAGTGAGTCCCTGTCTCAAATGTCAAATAAGAAGGCAACAGGGATGTATGTCACTGGTAGAACTCTTGCCTAGCATGCATGAGACCCTGGGTTCAATCCCTAGTACCACCAAAAAGAAAAAATCTTACCCCAAAATGCAAATTTCAGGCCTTATGAGATCAACAACAAGCTAAAACTTATACTCCCAAAGTGAATATGCTTTACCACACCTAGTGATGTAGTGGGTTGAATTACTGTGTAAGTCAGATTCTACAAAAGATCCTAATATGCTGGAGTTGAAATTCCATATCAAATATTATTTGAAGAAAATGACTCATTAAGCTAAGCTTATGAATCTAGAGGTAAAAATGGCATCTATTAAACCAAGGTTTAATTTACATGTCCCCATTAATAATTCTTTGAGCACAATTTTAAAATATATTCTGCCAGGCATGTTGGCACAGCCCTTTAATCCCAGCACTGGGGAGGCTGAGGTAGGAGGACCACTTGCTCTGGGCAATTTAGTAATTTAGTGAGCCTGTCTCAGAATAAAAAAGAGCTGGGGATGTAGCTCAGTGGTAAGGTCCTACATTCCAAAGGGTAGGGAGAGAGGAAGAAGAGAGGGGAGAGAGGGCGGGGTGGTGGTGGTGTGGTTCTAGAGTAGCTTTTCCTTCAGAGCTAACTTGCATCTCCTTTCTGGCTGCCATGGGTTTGCTGACTCACTTGCTTCACAGTATTTCTCAAAATACATTCTATGGAAAATAAATGAAGACTGGTGGATTCACTCAGAAGGGCTCCCTAATCAAGTCAGTTTGGGAAACACTTTATATATACTATGTGGTCTTCTGGGCTAATGCCCATCAACATATTACACAAAGTATTGTTTGGAATGATCATAAACCCAGTTTTGTACCAGAAAGCCTTGCTTTTAGAGTCCCACCTTATAGTGGCACCTGTGTGGTCTGGAGCAGGTGCTTAGTCTCTCATAGCTTCTTCAACTTGCTTATCTCCAAAATGGAAAAAAGAACAAAACCTAATTCATAGGCTGTTGTGAAAAATATACAAGGTAATGCATATAAGGAATGCAGCACATTGCCAAAGGCCCGTGCAGCATATTGTGAAAAGTCCCGCAGTACAGAGACCGGTCAACTCTACAGAACCCCTTTCTGTATGTTAATATCACAAAAACCTAGGGAATTTTGCAGTACACACATTTAGAAACATTGTCAAGCTGTGTACTCTTACATTCCTTTGGGTTCTAAGGTTTCTTTGCTCAAAGGTTTTGATTCCTGGCTGGTTGTAGAGTCTGCATTGTAGTAGTGATGACCAAGATACCTCTGTTTACTTGAGTTCTCAGGCATCCCAGAATGGTCAGATTCTGACTCTAGTCTCTTTTCCTCTAAATTGCTCAAATTTGACCAAACCTAAAAATGTATCTTGGTTTCCAAACTCAATTTAAATGAGCATTAATTAGAAATCTACTATATTCGTAAAATGTATAAGACAGAATAGTTAGGCTAGTAGCTCTACTGCTTAGAGCTCTTAAGGGAAGAGACTATGTCTTGGTCCCTCTACATTCTTAGAAATGCCCATGTATAGCAAGCACTCAGAAATTATTTTTGAGTGAGATGAAGTCTTGATATTATGATTGTGCACATTATAAGAAAACTTATATGGCTAATTAATTTCATTACTTATAAAAAAAATTTTAATTACCTGGTTGGCAGTGTCCCCTTACTGAGTACCACATAAGTGACAGAATTTATTGTGTTGGATACCCAACATACATAATGAATATTCACATAAATGGATAGACAAGAGATATGTTTTTATGAGCTAACAATCTAGTGGTAGAAATAGATAAGTAAAACTTCCTTTAGGTGTTTTAAGCTTGTAGCCTGACACTCAGTTTTGCTGCTCTTGAACATTATTTGGTAGCTGACTTGAGCTATGATAAGCCCTCAAAGACAATGGAAAAGAACTGAGATGTGAGGTCAAGTGTAGTATTCAGTCCGTGATGAGAATTCTTTCTAGACCCTCTTCTGGCCTAGATTTTTTTTTTTTTTTCAGTACTGGGGATAGAACTCAGGACCTTGTGCTTGCAATGCAGGCACGGTGCCAATAAGCTAAATCCCCTGCTAGAATTTATTTATTTATTTTTTTGATACCAGGGATCGAACTCGGGTCCTTGCACTTGCAAGGCAGGTGGTGGAACCACTGAGCTAAATCCCCGGCTAGAATTTGTTTTTAATGACAGGAGAATTCTAATACACCGAGGAGCTAGGATTAAGAAGAAAGCTTAAAACTCCTCAGAACCTATAATCTACTTATGATTGTATGACCTTAAAGGGGAGAGGGTAGTATATGTATACTCTGTTCCAAGCTTATTTGATCACTGAAGCCTATTTTTGCCAAGAAACATCTTGGAGGCCACGGATTTAGCTCAGTGGTTTCACCGCCTGCCTTGCAGGTGCAAGGACCCGAGTTTGATCCCCGGTACCAAAAAAAAAAAATCTTGGAACATTGAGAAATGCTATTCCTTTTACTTCTAAAATTATTATACTTTAGGGGCGAGGGATTTAGCTCTGTGGCTCTATGTGCCTGCCTCGCAAACAAGATCCTGAGTTCAACCCCTGGTACTGGGGAAAAAATTATTATATTTTACTCGAACAGTTTATTGAGGTAACGATTTCCATATTTGAACTTAGTGTAGCACTTTGGCCTAAACAATTTTCAGGAATTCATAGATAACTTTACTTTTTAGATTTTAAAAATAAACACTTTCCTGTTCTCAAAAGTTGTTCTGACTTGCCCAGATAGACCACTCATCCCTCATTAATGTAGTATTAATAAATTTTGAATCAAACTCTGTTAGGAGTCAGGGATGTATAAGTGATAGAGCCTTGAGCTCTGTTTCCAGTGTCTCCCAGGATAGAACTTGAGAATTTGCATTTTAATTCTCCCGCCAGCGATTCTGAAATGTATGGGTGATAGACCAGCCCAGAGGAAATAAAGCTTGAACTTTTTTTGTGAACTTAAATTGGCATGTGTATAGGTATTTTGTATATGCTTACGTATGTTTGTATCTGTATATATATTATACACATGTACACATGCTTATTTTTATTTATTTATTTTATCACATGATTATTTTTACATTAGAATGACCTCCCTCAACTTTTTTTCTCATGAGCATTTTCCCACAGCATTAAATATCCTCTGAAATGATGAACTTCATGATTTTCTATCATTGCATTCTATAGATATGATATCATTTGACAATTTTTCTATCTGGAACATTTAGATTGTTTTCCGTTATACATAATTCTACATGAGTATTCTCATACTAAATATCTCTGAGTTATATCCTTCCTTGGAATTGATTCATCTGAGGGTCAAAATATCTGACTTATGTTTTTAGGCTCAAGGTAGGAATCAGCCGCTTGTTTTCATGCTTGTTCATACTCTATGTAGGAGTGGCCTGTTTCGTGACTCTTATGTATAAATGGTATGGACAGTCATTGATTTATAACCTTTCTAGCAGTTCTTCCCTAAGACATTAGTCTTACAATAAAAATTATTTTTGGCTTCTAGTACAAATAACTTTATTATGTCTTTCAACTAGGACATACAATGCAACTGTGATTTTGTTGAATGTTCTTGTGCCAACTTAAAATTTGGGTAGTTTTTACTTTATTAAAGGGATAAAAATCTTTACTGCTTCAAATATGTCCATGACAAATGCACATGAAAGTATTTTTATCCTCACAGAGGTATATATTTACAGTAAAATATATTGTATCTGTTCTTACAAATTCATGCTTTTTTTCTGGTAATGAATATCAGTATTTTTCTTATATGGGAATACTGAAAAGGAAGTGTTGGTCATGGATTTGAATGTTCCTTCTTAGCAGAGTAAGAACAGAGTTAGGGGAGGTCGTGGAATAATAGTGTGAAAATTTTTTCTTCCCTAGTAGGAAATAACAGTGTACAAAACTGAAAAGCAAATAGCACTTTAAATGAATATTTTAAAAAGCAAAGGGAAGGGCTGGGAATGTAGCACAGCAGTAGACCCTGCCCCTCCAAAAAAAAACAAGAAGGGGGAGGAAATACTAGGTGAATAGTTAGGAGTGGAAGAAGGGGTCCTTAGAAGGAGCAAAGGGATTGGGGAGGGATGGTTGGGATACTACTGGGTTGTTTTGTTTTGGAGGGCTGCCATTTTTTTTTATAAACCTTATACTGTAATACTGTTTGCTGCTTTGAATGATTTGTATGTGTATATTCATTTACTATAAAAATTAAAACACACAGATAAGCTGCTCTGAATAATCATATCAGTAATCACTGCTTGTTTCCACATGGGCTTTCCAGTTAGTTGACAGTTCCTTTTCAAGTCTTTGTAACATTCCATTCCATTCTCTATACTGCAGCCAGAGTGATTTTTTTCCCAAATGTAAATTGGAGCTGTCTTGCATTCCCCAGCTTGAAACTGTTCAATGCTTTTGCCTTACCTACCTTTTCAACCTACTCTTAACCATCAGTGCTACCTAGGTTTGCAGCCCCAGCCATGTGGGCCTTCTTTCAGTCCTTTGTCAGGGATTTCCATTATTACAAAGCCTCCGCACAGCCTGCTCCCTCAGCCTGGCGTGCTCTTTTGCTTCTTTCCAGGTTCACCAACCCTGGACCTTCAGATCACAGGTCTGTTGTCATAACCTCATGGATAGCTTGCCTGGCCCCCTACTAGGTAGCATATTACGCTCACAGCACTTGCACTGCACTTTCCTGGTGCTTGTCACTCATAGCTTCATTTTACTTTTGTATTTGACTGTTGTTTCTTTTTGCCAATAGCTCTATAAGCTACACAAAGGCATAACTATGTCTGATTTTGTTTCCCTTTGTGCCTAGCTCTGTGCCTGGAATATAGCAGACAATAAATAGCATCACCTGGCTCAAATATTCTTGTCATTGTTTTATTCTATTAATGTACTGTACTTTGTTGTCCTTGCATTTTTTTCTGATTCATTTTACAAACAAAATCTATATCCCTGTTATCTGAGATAAAATTGAGGAGAGAGGTGGCTAGTGACTTTACAAGGGCAAATCCTTGTAAGTACTAGTTTTAAAACTTCAGCTTGGTGTCCTAAGATATGTAGACAGAAACCCAGAGCCAGGGAAAATGTTGTAAAATATATATATTTCTTTCTGCCTAAGAAGTGGCTGTTGGCTTTTGCTGTATATAGGGATATTAGAACAAAAGTAAGAAATCAGAAAAGGAGAGGGCAGAGCCCAAGGCAGGAGTCCAGAACCCCATGTAGGGTAGAGAATGGTGGGAAAGCCTTCACCAAATAGATTTTATGCTGGTCCTGTTTCTCAGAGGTATATCCCTGTTCCCCAAACTTTCTTTGAAGTCTTCCAGGCACCTGATTTGGGGATCCAGAGCCTCCACATCACCAGACAAAGACAAATTCCATAACTGGGTTGGGAGTAAAAGAGCAGGAGGGAGAGAGTGGTCAATTCCAAAGGGAGTATAATTCAAAGGAGCTGGAGTCAGAGGTGTTCACAGACCCTCTATTTCCCAGAAATGTTCAGAATATTGAGAAGAGGGCATTGACCTTCACATAACCTATGGACCGATGAGGAGAGACTGAGCCGATTTCATGTATATCCTAAAGGACAGGGTAACTACAATTGACATCGATACAGATATTTCTGTGTCTTCTATATATTTGAAAGGTTAAAAAGCTATCATATTCAGGATAATAAGGAAGTTGGAGGGTGCCTAAGTTTATCCAAAATAAAAAATATTTCCACCCCTAAATAAAGCTAGCTGAGAAACATTGCTGCTCAGATGTCAGCATGCTAATTATACACTCAGCAGACATGGCAGGTACAAAGATTAAATTCACCCACAAAAAAGTAAAAGAGGAAAGTCAAGGAATCAAGTTTTCTAGCTACATAAATCTCCCTTTAACTGCCAGAAACTGTTCAGGCAGCCTCAGGCACAGCCAAACAACATTTAGTTCAGATAATCAAGGTTATCTTGTGTAGGTTGTTTTCTACATTGTTGTGGCTTTCAGAGATGATAGGTTTTTCTGACCCTATCTCCATCACACATTCTGGACAGGAGCTGACCTTGTAGAAGTACCCAGGTCTGGGTCAGCAGCCCCAGTGTTCATTCTAACTGCCTTACTAAGGGTCTTGCCATGGAACAAGCCAACAGAGACAGCACCATCCATTTCCTCCCCCTGGGTGCCTCTCCTGAGAGGTTGTACAGCCTGGGACAGTGGCCTTCACGGTAACGTATTTGTACTTCTCGAGATATGCAAAGACTTTTCTAAGTGCATACAGGCATACTTTCATATAAAGTGTTTCCTAAAACTGATCTTCCTGAGAACCTGTGTAGTCAAGTGTCTTGCTAGTACTACTGTGATCAATGTCCAGAATGAAAACCCTCCAGGAAAGCAAAGAAAGTGATAATTGAAATATTAGTATCTAGTATTGAGGTTGAAAAAAAAAAATGGAATGATTATGTAACAATTTTTTTGCAAGTTAAGTAGTTTCAAATTTGTTGTTTTGAATAAAACTGAGAGAGGACATAATCTGTCCAGTGATAAGATTTTTTAAAACTTTTTTAGTGCTGGTGATTAAACCCATAATGACACATTTTTTAAACAACTTTATTAAAGTAGGACATGTGGGAACATGGCTGTAATCTCAGCACTCTGGAAGACTGAGGCAGGAAGACTGCAAGTTCAAGCCCAGCCTAAGCAATTCAGCAATTTATCAAGATCCTGTCTCAAAAAACAAAAGAGAAAAGCCAGACTATTCAATAGTTTTTCATACATTCATAAAGTTGTACAATCATAACCACTTCTAATCTGTTGTTTACCTCTATAGAATTGCCTATTCTGGACATTTCATAATAATGGAAATGCTCCATAGCATGTGGTCCTTTTTGACTGGCTTCTTTCACTTAGTGTAATATTTTTAAGAGTTATCCATGTAGTATGAGCACTTTATTTCCTTTTATGACCTGAAATATTTCATTGTTTGGATGCACTGTATTTTATTTATCCATTCATCAGTTGATCCAATGATAGATTGTTAAAAAATATTTTGTACAAAATACCTATAAGGTAAAAGATAACACTATAAATAATTTAAAATAAAATTACTAAAACAACTTTCTTTAAAAGCAATTTAAAACCACGCCTGCAATTCTAGCACTTGGGGAGATTGAGGCAGAAGGACCACTGCAAGTTCAAGGCCAACTTGGGCTACATAGTGAGTTTAAGGCCAGCCTGAACTACGTAGCAAGACCCTGTCTCAAAAACAAAAACAAAACAAAACAAAACAAAAAAACAACAAACAAAACAAAACAAACCCCCAATTTTGCCAGTCACAGCAGTGCATGCCTGTAGTCCCAGGCAGGAGGATGTCTTGAGTCCAGGAGTTCAAGGCCAGCTTGGACAACATGGTGAGAACCCCCCATCTCAAAACAAAAAACAAAACAAAACAAAAGCATATTTTGTCAGAACTGATGCAAGAAAATTTTTGAAGTATTCAGGTGTTTTATTAAATTAAATTTGTGATTAAAAAATCTTTTAAAAAATCCAAGCCAGGCTTGTGTGGTGTACAGCTACTCAGGAGGCTGAAGCAGGAGGATCAGGAGTTTCAAGCCAGCCTGGACAATTTAGTAAGACTCTGTCTCAAAAGAAAATGTTTTAGTTTTTAAAGTTTTTTGTGTTTTTTTTTTGTACCAGGGATCAAATTCAGGACCTTCCACTTGCGAGGCAGGTGGCTGCACCACTGAGCTAAATCCCCAGCCAAAAAAAATTATTTTAAAAGGGCCAGGAATGTAGCTCAGTGGTAGAGTACCCCTAGGTTCAGTTCCCAGTACTGGCAAAGAAAAAGCAAAAGAAAGAAATATGGGTAGTCTAAAGCAAGATGTGCTGAGTGGAGAATAGTTTCCAGATTTCAAAGACAGTATGAAAATATGAATGTAAGATAGTTTAATGATCTTTTTATGTTGATTATGTGTTGCAATGATATTTCAGAATATTAGGCTAAGTAGAAATATATTATTAAAATTCATTTTATCTATCTTTTTACAGTTTTTAATATAGCTACTGGAGAATTTACAATTATATTTGGGCTCCCATTGTATTTGAACTGGATAGCACTGCTTTAGACAGTCTCTCTCAATGCCAGCAGTCAGAGGGGTCCTTGGAAGATACAGTTCACAACCTGTTATTGCTCTGCTCAAAAACTTCCAGGCACATGGTACACATACTGGTAAGTCAAAATCCTCACCAAGCCCACCACATCCTGTGCCGTCCTTCTCGTGCTCCCACGATCTACACCCAATCTCTTCACTCATGGTCAGACACAGATTTTGATAAAATCATGAGGAAATGATAGGGGTTCTTGCTAAGAAGAGTACAGGTTACAAATATATAATTAGGCAAATGCCTGAATACATATTTAGAATGAGAAAATAAATTACAACAATTTCCTGGACTCTTTGAAAGTCAAGTCCCTTTCTTCTGATATCTCTTTAGGCAATTTACCAGATACATTTATGAGGAAATGCTTCCAGATTGCAGCCTGGTTCCCCTACCCACCTAGAACTCTCCACAACCTCAGCATTGTCCTCAAAAACGTAGGCCCAGGCTGAGGGAGCCCCAGAAACTCCTTTGCCTTTGCATAAATTTCACTGTAAGATTCCTCTCTGCTCAAACTCACTGCCTATCTCCCCACCCACGCCCTCTTGTTGGTGCTGTAGCTTGAACAGGGCCTCATGCGTGTGCTTTACCACCGAGCTGCACCGCAGCCTCCCTACTTTCTCTGCCTCTTTGTCCTCAGTGCAGTAGCACTGAGGAGCCCTCCTTAAGGCTTTCCCATTTGCTTTTTCCTAGTCTTGGAATGTTCCCTCCCCATGTAGCTGCAGAGCTTACCCTCTCTTCTACAAATCTCTGCTCAAAAGGCTCATCATCAGACCAGCCTGGCCCAATCTCCCTATAAAAAGCAGTACACTCCCCCTGCAGTCCCTCCTTTTTCCTACTCTCTTTAGCCTTAATTATCTCCATTACATTCGCCACCAGCTGACATATCATGCATTTACACATCTGTGTGTTGATCATTGATCTCCCTTCTTTAGAGGTAAAACTCGGGAGGACAGGGATTTGTTTTGTTTCTGGTAAGCATACTCAGCATCTAGAATAAGGCCTGCCCCTTGATTAACACTCAGAAACTGCTAGTTGAATCAATGAATGAATATAATTATATAATATATAATGTATAATGAATGAATGACAGGGAGCCCTATTATTTTTCAGTATGGAATCAGTTCTTCAAGGAAATAATTCACTTCACACTCCTACTCCATATGCTTAATCATCATCACTAAGGGGTTACTTGGTAGGTGACAGCTATGTTTGTGGCCACCTGGCACTCTTCCATGTCCTCCTTTCTCTTAGTCCCACCTGATAGGTGACTCCCAGCCCCTAGGGATAAACGCATCCTTTAGGCATAGCCAACTGGAATTAGAATGCTTGGTCAGAGATGAGCGCTTGACCTCTCCTTGGCCAATCCACAACTTCCTTAGGAATATTCTCGCTGGAGCTGGGGGAAGGGAAGAAGCCCCTTGACTTGTATCACATCATTCATCAAGAAGGGTGTGAATTAAGGCCTTTAGCAGATGAGGTGGGCCTCTGCTCTTCCCAGGCAAAGAAAGATGAGCTGAAAGAGCAGGAGTCCCAGTAGCACGGAACCCCGGGTCCAATTTCCATGAGCTCTCCAGCGTTCTTCCTTTCTACACTAACAATGGCCAGTTGAGTTTCTGTCACTCACAATGAAAACTCCTTATTAGTATGATGTATCAGGGGCTGGGCTGGTTGCTGAGGATGCACATGTGGCTGGGACATATCCTTGCCCTCAAAGAGGGAAAATGAC